ATGTAAACCTTGTAAACCTGCGCAGTACGTGTCGATTTTAAAGGCAAGCGCGAACAAACATACACAACAAACATGGTACTTGCATATACAGCATATAATAATCGTCACTTTCCTACAGGTACTGTTTACTAACAAGGTGACAGCGCCAACTACTGGCCTGGCATACATAATACAGCGTTTTTGGCCGTTTTCGCGGATATGTGTAAACGTGAATCGTTTTGAAAACGTCGTGTATACGTGAAACTTTTTAAAAACGCAAGGGAAAAACTTTTCCGTTTTTGACTACATCGTTGTCGTGTAAACGTTAGCCTAAAACATAGGCTACGTTCACATTGTCAATTTTTGGGATTGACAACCGCATTTTCTTTACAGGTGTGAGTCTCAAAATGTCACGTTCACACAGCAGCTTGCAGTTGTGTTTAGAATACTGTCTGTATGAACGTGCAACAGGAGTCAAAAACGTAAAGTCTTATCACTTTCTGACACAACAAGAGTCCAATCGAGCCGCGAGTTCATCCGTCAAATCTTCATTAACCGACAGCAGCCTTTAAATTTGGGTGGAGAGCGGAGTATTTGAGTCGCGCGCGGAACACAAAACTGACGGGATCTAAAAGTTTCAGGTGACAGAAACGCAGCTCGTTTCTCCGTCACTGTAAGTTACCGAAAACACACATGAAAACAAGTAACACACTGTAAACATTTACGGGTGTGAGTTCGGTTACAGAATGCGGTTGTCACACCCGTAAATAACCGAACTGTGTGTGAACGTAACCGTATTAAGGACTCAAATACAGGACTGACAACCGTATTCTGCTGCTGTGTGAACGTGGCCATAAACATACCAGATGCATGGCAAGGCCACAATCAAGCAAAACATGCTTTTAAATAAGGCTACGTTCACACTGTCAGTTTTTGGGATTGACAACACATTTACTTACAGGTGTGAGTCTCGAAATGTCACGTTCACACAGCAGCTTACAGTTGCGTTTGGAATACTGTCTGTATGAACGTGCAACGTCAAGCCCGTATTCCTTACCAGTAACCATAGCGACAGTGACCAAAATAAAATTGAAAACTGCACGTTTTATCACTTCTGACATGGCAAGAGTCCAATCGAGCCGCGAGTTCTTTCGTCAAATCTTAATTAACCGACGGCAGCTTTTATATTTGGGTGGAGAGCGGAGCATTTGAATCACGCGCAGAACACAAAACTGACGGGAGCGGCGCCGGTGGAAAACTAACGGGAATCACGGGATCCAAAACTTTCAGATGACACGCAGCTCATTTCTCCGTCACTGTAAGTTACCGAAAACACACATGAAAACACGGTACACGCGCGTTTGTGCGGCAGAGCGGCTCTCTCTCGCGCTGTATGACGGGACAGACAACTAGTTGTACAGTCCTGTTCCGTTCACACAGCGCGTGTGTTCCGAGAATGCGGTTGTGAGTCCTGAAAATTTACAGGTGTGAGTTCGGTTACAGAATGCGGTTGTCACACCCGTAAATAACGGTAATAACCGAATAAATAACCGAACTGTGTGTGAACGTAACTGTATTAAGGACTCAAATACAGGACTGACAACCGTATTCTGCTGCTGTGTGAACGTGGCCTATTTATAAATCACTGCAAATAAAACAGGCTGATTGAAATGTTTCATCTCCACAAGAGAAAGACTTCATGCCAAAGCAAGGAACTGCCAAACTGTATCGCAGCACTTTGAGTTTGTGAACATCATCACTGTTAATGCAGCTCAGCACTGAGACTCCAGTGCCATCAGCCCGGGTTAGGAGGAGGAGGACGGGACGTCTAGAGACGGGCTGATTTCGAGGCTTTGTCTTCATTTCTTCTTGGGTTTGGCCTCCAGCGGCTGCCCAATGTCTTTCCCACGGAGCTTCAACCCTTTGTGGCAGGTGAGATGATGGTGAACCCATAAACCGGTTCAGTACGTGGCCACAGCACTATGGAAGAGTTGTGATGGCTCTCTCAATTTTGCCCATGACTTGATTATTTGGGATCACCTTCCCACTTTCATATTCAGCGATGATCTGAGGTTTCTCGTTGATTTTCTGTTGAACAGAAACACAGAGGATGATGTTTCTGAAGCAGCAGCAGTGCATGCGTTCCGTGTGTTTTAATACCGGCACACCAACAGACTGCCTGGATTGGCTCATTCCTACCATGTGATCATTAAACACATGAATTGAGATTGACTGTAGCTGCGATCCCGCTTACAGTGGCCAGGTCTTTCTGGGTCAGACCCTTGTCTTGACGGCCTTTCTGGATGACTTTGCCCACTTCCAGTGGAACACGCTGATGGTGGAGCTGTGTTCTTGGTAACCAGGTGCTGCTTATTCTGGCCCGCTGACCCTGAGATCCGGCATCACAACAACATCAACCTCCAGTGATACTAGAAAACACAGCTAACCATGATGAGGGCGCTGCATGTAAGATTACACAAGTTAATACGCAATATTCTAATGATATAGAGAATATAGCAACAGCTGTCATGCTGGTTCATGTTTAAGTAACATAAAAAATATCAATACAAAAACATGGAGTTTTTCTGAAAAAAAACAAAAAACAAATTCTGCAATAGATGGGGAAATTAATGCATAAAACGACCTAAAAAAGTAAACATATCTCAGTGTGTTTGAATCCAACAGGATCAGTTTGAATTTCCAGCAGAGGAACCACATGTGACATTCACAGACCATTTAAATATTTTAATTAGCCTCGTATTGATCAGTCTGACCCGTTTCAATTTTTTAGTGATGCTTTTCTTGAGATTTTTTATTTTATTTTATTGTTGTTGTTTTTTTTTGCAAAGATGCCGGCAAAGATTCAACACTCTGATGTGTTGTGGAATAAATTTCAACTGCGATTATGATGTTTGCGGGTTAATTTGACCCACATAATTCATTGTTAACAGCAGCTGACAGAACCAAAATAACATTTTTTGGGGTGTTTTATGTCAGTTTCTCAACTACCCTTTTCCTATTTATAATCATTTGGCACACTTTTACATTTCATATTGGAGTTGCAAGATTTTGTGTGCTTCAAGAAATTGTAAAATGTAGTTTTATTCTTTTCTTTTCTTTTTTACTTTTTAAAAACTGTTTTCCTGGTTTTTGATTTTTTGTTTTTCATAGTGTATTTTTGGTGAACAACTGTACTCAGATTATTAGGTTATAAGTGTAAAATACTTGTCTAAATAATAAATAAACAAAATACATCAACTTCTCACTTAAGCATACTGATATATGATTAAAAAATGAAGATGATTCATGTGAGGTCCAGCAAATGTCAGCCGTTTTTAAAAAGGCAGATGTAATATCTGCTCTTGGACGGGTTAATGAATCACAGCATGTCCATAGTTTTACTGTAGATGATGATGTGTGCTATTAAAGTTCGAAGGTTCATTTAGTTGTTGTTGTCAAAAACACTCAAATATAAAATCAAAGTAAATATTTTATGATCTTCCAACAGATCAGTCCAACATTTTAACAAACTGCAAGATACAAAAAAAAAAAAAAAAAGTATTATGTTTTACATTTCTTGGTGGTCTCCACTTCTTCTCCACGCCTCTGAGCAGCAGTGACCGCCTAAAAGGACATTAAAATCAAAATCAGACACCACATAGAGCTCAGAAATATACGAGTGTGATTTTGTTGTCATTCTTCAAATTTCATGCACGGTGCGTCTAACAAGAACATGACAATTAACTGTGAATGTCTAAGTTATTATAGATCAGCAGAGAGCTCGCTATCATCAAGAGAATCTTCTAGACTGCCGGGCGAGCCACATGTTGACTAGTTGAGCTAGTGTTTCAGGCTCGTGATGAAGCCGAGCACGGCGGCGACGTGCTGTGACCCGGACGGGCGCTTGACTGCGGCGGATCGCCGGTGTAGTGCCGACATTTGCACCCTGCCAGATTTTGCACCCCCTAGTAGGGCGGAGCATACATGAATATTCATGAGTTTCCGGGGCATGCGCGTCGAACCAGGTGGAACTGAGAATTTCAGTATACGCTCCTTGTATCTCAGCAGGTTTAAAAGAATATATTTTTAAAAAAAGGTAAATATATTTCCAGCGTTGCACAAACTACATTTGTTTATCATTTCGTAACAGTTTAGAACGTTTTTATTCGTTTACAGTGCACGTTTTGTGCAGTCGTCCCTGACTGAATGATTGCAGGCATTCTTTGTGTAATGTTAGGATAAAGCGCAGCAAACTTCAGCTA